GGAGGAGAATGAGGTGTGAATAAGCTAAAAGTGCATAATATACTCTAGGCCTGCCGATAGATGTATAAAGAAAGGATCACTGTCGTGACTGTAGGGTAAGGGCATTAAATATTAACAGCACAGGTAGTGGCCAAATGCAACGGCAGAATATCGGCGAAACACGCGTGTATGGGCTTATGGCTACTACCTGTGCTGTTAGTATGGAATCACCTTACCTTAAAGTATACTACTAACCGTCTGTCGGTAGTTAATTATTATTATTACGTGGTTATCCGGTAGGACTAATGGACATCGGCCTAAATATTCATATCTTAAATCTTTGGTCTGAGCTTATAGACCTTCAATATCCTGATCTACTCCAAGTTCGCAGTTCATTTCTAAGGAACTTAAAAAGCAACACCTATCCTTACTGTAACCACCTCACTGAACTTAGAGTACAGATGACGGTGTATGGTATATGTATAAGGGTAATTTTACATTACTCACACGAAATGCAACTGTCACGTAAGGATTCTGTGGTGAGAGGCTGCGAATGTGGACGGCAAACAGGCACAGGGTATTATTACAACATCCGTTACGGAACCCCGTTCGCGCTCAGAAGATCCACATACGCCACGTGTTAGAAAGTCAAGTTTTTTTAAGGGATCATAAGGGCAGCATACACGGTGGTCGGCTAAAAAAGCTATTAGAAGAAAATTGGCTCGCCGGAGCAGGTTTATTTAACTGCTGACGTTTCAAAGAGCTGGGTCGGCTCTTCATTGTCAAAGCGTAAACTGCATCTAATCGATCAGAAATTTAGTTTAAAGTGGCAAGTTGTGTTGGCTGGCCTCATGCTGATCGATTTTTTTCCTCTCATCTCGCTGCGTCGGCCTCTCAGGAGATGGTTGACGGGCGTTTTTGCCTGTGCGCTTTATGAGTCACCACTCCGTCGAGGGGAGCTGACTGGACTTTAGTCGGGCGGTCGGCCTGGTGGTTCTTGTTCTTCCTCACCGAGTAAGCTCAGCGTCGGGCTATCTCCGTGCTGCCTTCTTAAGTCAGTTGTGGTTGTTTGGTCCTTAGCTCTACGATTGTGATGACGTAAGACTTTGTAAGCTGCAGGAAGGTCCAGATGCCTGTTGATAGAGTGGGCATCGGAGAACCACGCTTCGAGAGTTAGCCGGTCTGTTTTTGTGTTGCCTCGGCCTAAGATGGTAACCCTCTGGAGGTCAAAAGTATGCCCCGTTTCTCCAACGTGTGTTGCTAGTTGAGAGTTAGGGTCTAACCTCCGAGTGGCCGATTTATGTTCAGTCAGTATATTTGGAGTAAACAACAGAAGCCATGAAAACTCCATTTAGAGGGTACAGGTATAAAGTAAAATAGTTAAATTGCAAAACTTTTGCTTGCAGTTTTAGTAGGGAGAATTCATAAATCTAATAATGTAACATACAGGTGAAAGGGGTATTATATTCGCAAAATAATTGCGAAAAACTTTGTTCACCACATTCGGACTGTGAAAATTTCAATATGGGCTAAGTTGGACGCAAAAATAGGATCTGTTGAAATCATGTTAGTAGCATATTTATAGTCATTTCAATAATCCGTCAGATCAGGCTTCGGCAGTTTGGGTTGCCTTTCAGCAGGTGAGTATCCAGTTGTCTCTTGAACACGTTCACGGTAGGGGAATTAACAACAAACTCCGGCAAAGAGTTCCATTGGCGAATGACCCTCTGTGAGAAAAAGGAGGAACGTTGATTTGTGTGGCACAGTTCCTTTTTAAGCTGGTAATCATGTCGTCTGAGATTGGATTTGGGTGCCATTTCAAAAAACGTTTCCCAGTCGACATCCAGATTAAGTCCTTTTACCAACTGGAACGTTGCTATGAGGTCACCTCTGTCCTGCCTGTAGTGGAGGGGATAGAGGTTCAAGGCCGGCAGGCGCTGCTCGTACGTGAAGTTTTTGAGGCCAGTTTGCAATTTCCGCCCAGTTTCGCCCACATTGTTGCAGTCGTCCTCATTGCAATTTATTTCGTAGATGACTGCTGAGGTTTCAGCGGGTGGCAATGGCTCTTTAGGTTGCATCAGGCGACGTCGAATTGTTGCTTGTGGTCGATGGGCTATGCCTACTCTGCTGGGTTGTAACAGTCGCGAGACCGCTTCAGAGACCCCTTTAACGTAAGAAATGGCCCTCCAGACTTCGGGTTGCTGCTCATTTGGCCGTTGTCTGGGCGCCCAACGTCTGCTTCTCTCGATGAAATGCCTGGGATAACCATCGGCTGCAAATAGGTCCACAAGGTACAATCGTTCGGCCCTTTTATCTTCTGGTGTGCTGCAGTGTGTTTCGACTCTTTGGAATAGAGTGCGGACACAACTACGTTTGTGAGACAAAGGATGGTTACTGTTGAAGTGTAGCATCTGTCTCGTGTCAGTGGATTTTCGGAATACTGTAGTTTGCAGCTGTCCAGTGGTACACCGGCGCACAAGTACGTCAAGGAAGGGCAGTTGGTTGTTTGTTTCCGCTTCCATCATAAATTGTATATCAGGGTCAACCGAGTTCAGTAGTCCCTTTAGGTGTTCTACGTCAGTTGTTTTGACAACGACTAAGGTGTCATCGACATAGCGGGCCCAGAACTTTGGTTGATATTTGGTGAACACCAAGTGTTCTACCCGTTGAAGTACTACTTCAGCAATTAGGCCTGATATAGGGGAGCCCATAGGAGTGCCCTTTATTTGTTCGTACATTTGTCCGTCGAAAGTGAAATAGGTCTTGAGACAGTATCGCAGAAGCTCGAGCAGATGCTCAGACTTCAGAGGCCTGTCTCTCTCCTCATAACGCTCTGCCAGTAGTTGGTCCACAACATCTATCGCTAGTTGCTGTGGGATGGAGGTGAAGAGCGAAACGACATCAAAGGATACCATGGATTCGTCTGGCTCTAACCTCAGATGCTTTATGCGTTCGAGGAATTGATACGCAGATGCAACTGTTGTTGGTGAGCCTTCGGCCAAAAACTTAAGACGACCGAACATCCATTTTGCCAAACCGTACGTCGGAGTGCCACGAAGGGATACGATTGGTCTGAGTGGGACATTTGCCTTGTGTACCTTCGGTAGACCGTAAAAACGAGCCGTGGCGGTGTCAGTGGGTTTCATGGAGAACCAGTCGTTGGGTGTAATCGCCCCCTTGGCTTTGAGATTTCTTAGGCTTTTGTTTATCCGGGTGATTAGATTTTTCATTTCGCTGGCATGACATTGTTTGTATGAATGCTGGTCTTCGAGTAAGTCCTGTACCTTGTTCTGGTAATCCGATTTGTCTAGCACAAGTGTTGAACGTCCTCTGTCAGCTGGCAGAATAATTATGTCCTTGTTTGCTTTTAGGCTTTTCAGTGCCCGCTGTTCCATATTGCTAAGAGTTTCGCACCTCCTGTGTCGCATGAGCGACGAGGAGGTTTGGTGACGGATCAAATCTTTCGTCTCTTCTGACGCCTTTGTTAGTTGAAGAACAGATTCGAAGGCGGCAATAAACTCTGCTGGTGTGGCATGTGCTGTGTTAAAAGTTGCTCCACGTTCCAGGATTGCGAGTTGTGTGTTTGTAAGGGTTTTAGATGAAAGATTGTGAACAAGGACGCCTGATGAGTTGTCGGGGCTTGGTACTCGAAGTTTTTCCAATTTTATAGATAACTCCTTGTTTCTTTTAGCACGTACTTTCTGAGCATGTCTGAGGATGGTCTGCTCTATGTAATTTCAAAAGGCAATTTGGCGAGCATACGTTTGCTTTCGATAAATTCTCTTCAGGCCTGTACATTTATATGGATATTGAAGTAATGAATGCAAAAGATACGGGTAGATAGGGGAGGGTAGGGGAGGGGGAGGGTGAAACACCATAATTCCAGTCGGCGCCAGGGGGAAGGTGGGTCCCGGCGAATGCAGTTACATGCGGGTGTCTGGCTTCGTGGCTTTGGCCCATGGTAACTGTGGGGCCTGCACGAAATTCTTCTGCGCGCATAGGACCGGCCGGCGTAGCCTAATTGCAGCCGCCTCTGCCGTTGCCAACAAGCGCTGCCCAAGCAGTTTTGGATAGCCTGATGGGACCTTGTAGATCACTCTGAAGGCCTCTGTGGCGTCTACACGGTGGCCTGTGTCTACCATGTGCGCGAGAATCGAGCTGTTGATGTTCTTAATTTGTCCCTTTCCTAACCATGCTGGGAGATGTTCTTTCATTCTTTTGGATAAACGCCGGCTCGTGCGACCAATATATTCTGCCCCACAGGAGCAGGTGAAGGAGTAGATACACATAGAGGTGGTCTGAGCTGGTAGTTTGTCCTTGCCCTCTCCGTATAGGATGGGACTGGTGGAGAACAATACACGGGTGTCAGCTGCTGGAAAGGTCTGTGCTACAGCTTGGGTTAGGCGTCTTCTCAGAAGTTCACTTGGTGCATCCCCTTGAAATGGGACCCTGATAAAGAGCCTTTTCTTTCCCGCCGTCAGCATCGGGGGCTTTTGCGGTCTTTCGGCCATGTTCTTAGCGATGAATCGGTCAGGATACCCGTTTTGGCGAAATAGGCTTTCGATGATCTTAAGCTCTTTCTCAACGCTATCGGCTGAGCAGATTCTTCTCACTCTTTCTGTCAAACAGCGGACTAAATTACGTTTAACGTTTAGCGGTACGAAACTCCCAAAATGGGTGTATTGTCCGGACCACGTTTTCTTACGATAAACGCTACGTCGAATGTTGTCGTCAGGTCTTCTACTCAGAAGCACATCCAGAAAGGGAAGTGAACCGGCCTGTTCTTCTTCCAGAGTGAATTTTATTGATGGGTGCGCTTGATTTATGTCATCCAGTAGAATTGAGATGTCGCTTAGTTTCGGTGCAATCGCGAATATATCATCCACGTATCGCCCATAGTATCTTAGGCCGTTGATCTGGTGACGTAACTGGACAGCTTCTAATTTGCCCATGAAGATATTCGCTAAAAGCGGGCCAAGGGGCGAGCCCATTGCTACGCCGTCCATCTGCCTATATAGATTGTTGTCGAATAGGAACTGTACGTTCAAGGTACACCTCAATAACAATTCCTTGAGGGCATTTACTGGCAGTCCTATATCCTGTTGATTGTCGGCAATGAAATCACAAAGGTAGTTAACCGTTTCTGTTACCGGTACTTTCGTAAAAAGGGACGAGACATCTAACGAAAACATAACCATTTCGTTCAGATCAAAGTCTTTCACGCCGTTAATGAATTCAAAAGTATCTCGATAGCTATGTGGCGCTAGTTGATATTGCAGAGGTTTAAGTTTCTCCGCCAGCCATTTCGCTATTGCATGGTACGGCGAGTTTCTCATATCGAGGATTGGGCGAACCGGTACGCCATCTTTGTGGATCTTCGGCAAACCATATAATCGAGTTATATGCGTACATGCCTATATGCATTCATTACTTCAATATCCATATAAATGTACAGGCCTGAAGAGACTTTATCGAAAGCAAACGTATGCTCGCCAAATTGCCTTTTGAATTTTACAATGGGAATTTTCGTAACTCTATGTTATTTGATTCTTCACCGACAGCTCTCCAGAGAAAACACTTAGATTGGTCCATCTCTGCATTGTAGCGTTTAAGTCTTTGATGGCAATCGTGAATTAGCACTCTTGTCATTCTTCTGCCAAGTCGGATCACAGTCTCCCTTGCCAGAGCAGAATTCACAGGAGGCTTGTAAGTGACGCTCTTTGGGGTCAACTGGTTGTCAAGGCAGCGGTGGAGGAAGTGCAGTTGTGCTTGAGTGGACGCAATCCGCAGGGCAAATTTTCCCAACGGCGCGCTGCATGGAGCACTGATGGCTCAAAAAATCTGTTCAGATTGGAAAAGATTAGAGATCCGGGAAGATTATTAGAAGAAGAAAATTGGCTCGCCGGAACAGGTTTATTTAACTGCTGACGTTTTCTTCTTCTAATAATCTTCCTGGATCTCTAAAATTTTCCAATCTAACAAAGCTATGGACTTCACAGAACCTGACTGAAACTCCAGACCAAAGCACAGAAAGCACGCAGACAGGAATCCACTCCCTTGGAAAATCAGCACGTTATGAAAATTAAGACACGCTGGACAGATCTTGGCGAAATTTCGTGAGCTCAGGATACGATGGTAAGCCGTGGCTTACGAAAGACGCACGTTCCTGTCCAAAGGAAATCATTCATGCACTGAGAAGGCACAGGAAGACTAAGACGATTAGTTCGGCTATAATCCAATCAAGCCCACGTGGTTCTGTAGCAGATAGGAGATTTAAAACAGGTGACATAGGAACAGAAACGTGGTCTTCCAAGAACCCGGATCTTTGCCAAACGCATCACGGCCTCCACACACTGAGACCACACGGGTTCCGAGAAGTTGTCATGTTCCGGTTCTTTATTCTCGTTCGATTTATTACACTTTACAAAATCGAAGTTTTCCAGTAGTGGCTGCAGGCATTTCTTGAGCTATTTATAGTAGTCCATTTGCTAGCACCCAACTCTCACCTGTGGCTCCACGTAGCTGGGCTCTGCTCAGCGGCCACACCCCGGGCAACCGTCTCGACCGGCGGGCTAAACCAGGTGAGGGGGCCCAGTGCGCTGTGCCGTGTGTACAGGGTTTGCGGATTCCGCTGGATGCAAGGTCGGATGAAACCTTGAGTCGGCACCGTCGTGACGTGGTTCGACTCTGCACGCCGCTGGACAGCCAGCGACGCGATGGGTCTCCACATCGACATCGCCTTGACGCGCCCACCCTCGCCGACGGAGACCGCGGCTTGCGGCGAATTCGAGTCGCTCGCCACAACAACCCGAAGTCGTGGTCTCATAGTGGAGTTCAGCCGTGCCACAACGGCACATGGCAGCCCTATTCAGGGATGGCACTGACAGCCCCCACGAGGGGAAGGGCCTAGAAAATGTGGCCTAAACATTGCTGGGTACCACGCCGTCTCCAGGCTAGCCAAGGCCGCAGATGTCATCACACGGTCGAAACACTCAAAATCGAAACAACAACAAGAACAACAACAAGAACAAGAACAAGAACAACAACCATACTCATTATCCTCATCCTACCTCTTCTTCCTCTACATCCGTCTATTCTTCTGCCTATTCTTCTCCTTCGTCATCTTCTTCTCCATCTCCTTCCCGTCGCACCACTCGTTGTCACCAGACTGACAGGGTGAGTCCGCTCACTCTGGCAGCCTGGAATGTTCATTCACTTTTAGACAACCCGAGGAGCAACCGACCGGAACGGAGGACGGCGCTAGTGCCACGAGAACTGGCGCGCTACAAGGTGGACATCGCAGCACTCAGCGAGACCCGTTTCTCCGAACAAGGCCAACTGGAAGAGTTGGGAGCCGGTTACACCTTATTTTGGAATGGTCGACCCAAGGCAGAGCCACGACACGCGGGTGTCGCCTTCGCCATCCGGAACGACATCGTAAGACGACTGCCCAGTCTGCCGCAGGGCATCAACGACCGCCTGATGAGCCTCCGTCTGCCTCTCCGGCGGAGGGGCAAATTCGCCACCATCATCAGCGCCTACGCTCCGCCGATGAGCAGCCCCGACGCCGCCGCTAGAGACAAATTCTACGAGAAACTGCATGCTTTCCTGGCGACAGTGTCGAAGACGGAAAAGTTGATTGTCCTTGGTGACTTCAACGCCCGCGTAGGAACAGACCATACTGCCTGGAGGGGAGTGCTGGGTGCCCACGGTCTCCGCGGCTCCAACGACAACGGCCTGCTGCTTTTCCGCACCTGCGCAGAACACCGCCTCATCCTGACGAACACGTTCTTCTGTCTGCCGGAGCGAGACAAGGCCACCTGGAGGCATCCTCGGTCGCGTCAGTGGCACCTGCTGGACTATGTCCTCGTCCGTTGGCGAGATCAGAGGGACGTGCTGGTGACGAAGGCGATCGCGGGTGCTGACGGGTGGACCGACCATCGCCTCGTCATCTCGAAGATGCGTATTCGCCTACAGCCTCGCAGGAGACCACAAGGTAAGCGACCCCCAGGTAAGCTGAATGTTGCCTTTTTGTCTTTGTCCGCTCATCACCTTCATTTCAGCAATGAGCTAGCGCAACGGCTAGAGAACCTTCGCATCGCTGCCGATGCCGCCGCTGCCGAGAACGCCTCCGTGGAGAACCCCTGTTGTCAACTGCGAGGCACGGTCCAGTCGACGGCGCTCGCCGTCCTCGGTCGCGCTCCCCGTCAACACCCGGACTGGTTCGACGACAACGACGCCGCCATCAGAAATCTGCTTGCTGAGAAGAACTGCCTACACAAAGCCTACGTCGATCACCCCACTGAGGACAACGAAGATGCCTTCTACCGTAGTCGCCGACAGCTTCAGCAACGACTGCGCGAGATGCAGGACGCCTGAACTGCTCGCAAAGCTGAGGAGATCCAAGGCTACGCGGACCGCAACGAATGGAAGAACTTCTTCTCTGCGATCAAAGCTGTCTATGGTCCGCCGACGAAGGGCACTGCTCAACCTCTCAGCGCGACGGCAGCATTCTTTTGTCTGGAAAGACGCAAATCCTGCAGCGATGTGCCGAGCATTTCCGAGGCGTCCTCAACCGCCCTTCCGTCATCTCCGACGCCGCCAATGCGCGTTTGCCGCAAGTGGAGACCAACGCGGACCTAGACCTCCCACCAACTCTCCGGGAAACTATCAGGGCCGTACATCAGCTCTCTAGCGGGAAAGCACCCGGATCGGACGCAATCCCTGCTGAGGTCTACAAGCACGGAGGTCCCCAACTGATGGATCACCTGACTGCGCTCTTCCAGGAGATGTGGATTCAAGGCGATGTCCCGCAAGATTTTAAGGACGCAACAAGCGTGCACCTATACAAGCGAAAAGGGAATCGCCAAATCTGCGACAATCACCGCGGCATCTCCCAGCTGAACATCGCCGGGAAGATCTTCGCTCGCATCCTTCTCAACCGCCTCAATAACCATCCGGAACAGGGTCTACTGCCGGAAAGCTAATGCGGCTTCCGTCGTCATCGTGGGACCACGGATAGGATCTTCGCAGCCCGCCAACTTCAGGAGAAGTGTCAGGAGATGCGGACCCACCTGTACTCTACCCTCGTGGACCTGATGAAAGCCTTCGACACGGTGAATCGTGAAGGACTGTGGAAGTTCATGCAGAAATTCGGCTGTCCGGAGCGATTCACTCAGATGGTGCGTCAGCTGCACGACGGTATGATGGCGCGAGTCACGAACAACGGAGCTGTCTCAGAGGCATTCGCAGTGACCAACGGAGTGAAGTAGGGATGCGTGCTGGCGCCAACCCTCTTCAGTCTTATGTTCTCTGTCATGCTGATGGACGCCTACCGCGACGAACGCCCCGGGATCCGCATCGCCTACAGAACGGACGGTCAACTCCTGAATCAACGGCGCATGAACTTCCAATCGCGTGTATCCAAAACCAACGTGCACGAACTTCTCATCGCCAACGACTGCGCCCTGAACACCACCTCGGAAGAGGAGATGCAACGCAGCATGGACCTATTCACCGCCGCCTGCGAGAACATCTGTCTGGTTATCAACACGCAGAAGACGGTGGTGATGCACCAACCGCCACCCAACTCAGCCACAGCCCCCAACGCGCCGCCGCAAATCAGCGTGAACGGAACCCAACTGCAAGTGGGGGCGAACTTCCCGTACCTGGGCAGTACTCTCTCCCGCAACACCAAGATCCATGACGAAGTCGCCAAGAGGATCTCGAACGTCAGTCAAGCCTTCGGTCGCCTCCAAAGCACAGTTTGGAATCGTCACGGACTTCAACTGAGCACGAAGCGGAAGATGTACAAGGCCGTCATCCTGCCGACGTTACTGTATGGAGCAGAGACCTGGGCGGTGTACACGAGACAGGCACGCCGTCTGAACCACTTCCACCTCAGCTGTCTTCGTCCCATCCAGCGACTGAACTGGCAGGATCGCATCCCCGACACCGAAATGCTGGAACGAACGGGAATGCTCAGCATCTACTCCATGTTGAGACAAATGCAGCTGCGCTGGAGCGGCCACCTGGTGCGCATGGACGACGAGCGACTACCCAAACGACTCTTCTACGGAGACGTCGCGAAGGGTTCTCGTCGTCAAGGAGGCCCAATTCGTCGATACAAGGATACCCTGAAGTCCTCCCTGAAGCTACTGCAAATCAACCCGACCAACTGGGAAGAGCTCGCCTGCGATCGTCCAACCTGGAGGAGGACAGTGAAGACTGGCGCTGCGATCTACGAAGCCAACCGCATCACCACCGCCAAAGCGAAACGCGAATCAACTGTAACTCTCGAACTGCTCCAAACTTCATCCCCCCGCCCGCCTCATCCTCGTCCTCTCTGCCGCCAACTTACTTTGGCAATTCTTCTGCACCACCACTGCCTCAACGGCGGCCGCTCAGGCAGCCGTCTCGCACATCAACAACCGCGACACAACAACCGGCACCACCCCCGCCTCACCCGACTCCAGCTATGAGAATCAGGACTACACCTGCCCTCACTGCGATCGCACCTTCACTTCCCGCATCGGCCTGGTCGCTCACTTGCGAATTCATCGCACAGAGACCGGCGAACCAGTGCCTGGAGCACCAACCTACACCCACCGCACTCGCCTCCACTGCCCACACTGCCCTCGCACCTTCACGCATCGCATGGGTCTATTCGGCCACATGCGCATCCTCGAGAGCGGAATTGACCAAAATTCCGGCACGTCAACCACGCCCATCATGCCCAGCACCACCCTCGCACCGTCCATCTGCGCCACCACCAACGCCTCGTCTGTGGCTGACACTGACACCGCCGAATTCACATGTCCACACTGTGCACGCACATTCACATCACGCATCGGCCTAGTCGGTCACTTGCGAATCCATCGCGCAGAGACCGGAGAACCAGTGCCTGGAGCACCAACCTACACCCACCAAGCTCGACTCAACTGCCCACACTGCCCTCACACTTTCGGGCACCACATGGGCCTATTCGGCCACATGCGCATCCACGACGACCTGCGGTAGACAGCCGCCGGTTACACCACAAATCCACACACTCCATACCCTCCTCCACCATCACCAACACGCATCAACATCCACCCACCGCATGCACCAACTGCCACCTTCCATGCAAGTGGGAAGTGTGCATCCCGACTCGGTCCCCATGCGGCTTCGGCTGCACGGGTGATTTGAGTCCGAGACTATCCCGACACTTCAAGTGTCGTGGATAGGAAGGTTGCTGATTGACGCCCGTTCTCGGTTCACGCAGTTCGTCGCGTTGTGTGTAGTAGCGGAATGGTGGGCTGGGGACGGGCTGAAGCAGCACCTTCCACAGCCCTCTCACGCAAGTGAGGGACACGCCGTTCAACCCCCGTTGTGTGAAATCCTGGTGTTTGTGTGTATGGGGGGCCAGGTCGTGCTGTGGCGCGCGCAGTCATGGTCAGCCGACCGTGGCAGCCACCGCGCCCATTCCCCACTCCAGTTTGCCGGCCGGCTCGGACAGCGGCTGGGGTGTGGGAATGGGAAGGGAGAGTGAGGTCGACGACTCAGCGCACTTTCCTCACTTTTATCCATCTGACGCGCTTGAAGCTATCACGGTGCGCTAAAAGCCGTGGCCTGGAAGGTTGCCAACTGACAGGGTAACTTGATCCTCCTCCTTAACTGGAGGCGGTCTGAGAGTCAGGCTGCAATGGCTCCTTTTAAATGTGGCCTTTATGGCACTCTCACCACAGTGTGGGACCCGAACCAGGCGTCGGCGGCACGCCCAGGTGCGGTTTCGGCCGTGCTATCCTCCAAAGCTCTGTTGTTAGTTGAAATCCTGGTTATTGTCGTGTGGACCAGGGGGTGTGGTGGAACGCCAAGGTGAGGATCCGTCCGAGCCATCCACCTGCGGCCTCCCTCGTCTCCGGTCTTCTTGACTCTGTCTTGACACCGGGCTCAGGCGGGGGAGGAGGAGAGAGTGTAGGTAGATGCAGAGCAAGTCTACCGGCACTATAAACCCCTGCGCAAGTCACCGTCCCTGCTCCAACCTGCTGTGGGGCACACGGTGGACATCATCGAAATCGATGGTCGAACTGTCATATACTAGAGAAAGGGCCTACAGACTTTGCAGCAAAAATTGGAGCGGCCAGCTTTCACAACAGTTTTGAGATAATAATTGCGACGTTTTTGTAGTCTACTCCATCCGAATGCTTATGATAGGAAATAGCCATAACGTGAATAAAAAGGGAACCTTTCAGGCAGTATACCGAGGGCGACAAGTCATTATAAACCACTGCTTCGACCTTTACAGGCAACGGCGGATGCGACAGCCGTCAGGTGACGTAAACAGGTCGCGTGTGTACAAACCCCGACACCGTCATGGCCAAGATCCAGTCAGCAAACTAGCTGACAATCCAGATTAATTGTTTCAGTTTTTCTCGTAGTGCTCGATCAGGCTTACTCATCACTCTCTATTTGGTCAAAATTTAACTGACCGGTCTTCTAATATCAACCCACTGTGGAGTAGTACCATATTACTACTGAATTCCCAACCCCTTTATTTTTCGAAACCACCGACTGTGAGTAGAACAGTTCTGCTTAACTTAGCAGTTGCGATGAGCCGGAAGAAGGCACCTACTGGTCGACAGACCCGATTATAAGCAAGATATTTCTACTCTGGTATCTTGTGGAGGGGAAGTAAAAAAAGTTAAGATCAAACGTGGCACATAAAAAGAAAGACACGACTGAGGTGTTAAATCACCTCTAGAAACATGCACAAATAATAAATGGCACTGAAAATCACCAAGCAAGCAATCCCTTTTGCTGGATAAGTTTATCTCCTCATCCAGTGTGCGAACCAGTCGATCTTTCTTGTCCAGGCGCCATTGTAGGCCTCATCAAACTTTTCATTAAAGTAGCAAAGCGCCTCCTCTTCCGTCATCTCTACGGCCAGGGTCTTTCGCACATACTCTCAATCCGTCATACAAGTCAATTCTGGTAAACCCGAAGGCAGCATAATAGCAAATAGAGTGAGTATGAGGTGTGCATGGCGACGCAGCACGAGGTAGGCATTGCCACAGAGTTTAATGAACTCAATGAAGCCTTGACTGCGGTAGGGTTCCTCCTCTCCCCGGGCGATGACGCAGGCAAAGTCGCTG